TTTTATCAGACTGACACACACAGACCACCATTTTTATCAGACTGGCACACACAGACCACCAGTTTCATCAGACTGACACACACAGACCATCAGTTTTATTGGACTGACACACACAGACCACCAGTTTTATCAGACTGACACACACAGACCACCAGTTTTATCAGACTGACACACACAGACCACCAGTTTTATCAGACTGACACACACAGACCACCAGTTTTATTAGACTGGCACACACAGACCACCAGTTTTATCAGAATGACACACACAGACCACCAGTTTCATCAGACTGACACACCCAGACCACCAGTTTTATCAGACTGACACACCCAGACCACCAGTTTCATCAGACTGATTAATGTACATGCATAAGATCATAAATACCGGTGTCATACACCTGGGAATCCAATACTACAGACTGCTGAACAAAGCTTCCATTCACGTGACAGACATTTAAACAAGCCGGTAGGCTGGTTGGCGATCCGCTCCGCTCAAAAACAAGCACCATGTTTTTGGCTGTTTCCATGGTGTGACATAAACGTGAAGCTAACGTCGGTTTATAACTAATACGAAGTTCGCAAACACCATTCAGTTTTTGGAAGTCACTTAGTTTATTACTAGGACCACAATCACTCTCCTAGTCGAGTGACTGTGCTAGGACGTATTCTGCTGTTACATTTATTATTTCCAACAGTTTTGCGATAGCATTTTCTAGAATGAAGCGTTTCCTGTAAATGCTGGAAAGCGAAATAATGAAATAACGAGATGGTAAATATTTACCTAAAGTACAGTGTGTTGACCTTCATAAAAATATACTTCATAATGCAAAACATTAGTCACGGTGAGTTATTTAAATATACGACTCCTAATCGAAAATTATATGACCACAGTCCAGAATTTCAGACGGATATTAAGAAACCTAAGAGCATATCAAAAGCATTTACTCTAAAATATAAAAAAGAACTGCAGTCAAAAGTCAAGAATGCCAGCAAATAAAGGACTCTGTCCCACAATCCTTTGTGCGCGTTATTACGGACACGCGCAAAAAACTGTACCACGCTTGTCAAATCTGGGTCAAATATACAGTACGCTACTATCTTGCCACAGTGGAGTGTTCGGTGACCAT